GCTGGGAGTGTAATTAGGTCGGTGTTTGTATTTCTCAAGCAACCTGTAAATATGTTCACCTGATGCAAATATGTTTGAATGGAAATCAGGCACTCCATTGCTCCAGTTGAATATCAAAGATGATTTGATTGTCTGTACATGCTGGTTATTGCTGATGAACGCGTCAGCGTTCTCCCAATTTAATATATACATTCGTGAAATCTAGTGCATGAGTCATAATTACGTAGTGAATAGGAAAAAAGAAATTGAAGTTTTCAGGAGAAAATTAGTATTTCCCATCTTTTTGGGCATTTTAACGATAGTGTAGCAACTTTTTCGGGTGACCTTTTATCTTTGAAAAAAAAAAAAAAGATAGTGTTGTAACTTGTAACTTGCATTTGTATATCCGATGTTAAGTGAGAGTATTTGATTCAATATCATTGAAGACGTTTAAATTAACTGGAAGAATTGCGAACCGAATGTTGGTGACTTTTCTTGCATGATTATAGTGAACATATAAATAATAGAAAGTCAACTTTTTGGAAAGGTATAATTTGTTTGTTTAATTTTTTTTTTGACAAAGGTGAAATTATTCAAAATAATAAACTAATTTTTAATATCAAAGATATAAATACCTTTGTTTTAGGTCAAGAGAGTTTAATAATGAAAGATATTTTTAAAAGCACCAATATTGAACCTCTATAAAATACTACTTTTAAGTGTGATGCTAGAAAAGATAGTTCCTAAATTTTATATTATGAAACTGACCCTTAAATTAAAAAAAAGTAAATAAAATAGCAAAATAAATAGATATTATATATTGTTCTTTATATAATAATAAAAAAAAATTCTCTTTTCAATGCCAACCCAAAATGTTATGGAGCCGTTACATGGAAACAATGATGTGAGTGTTAATTTATAGCATGGGTTGTTTCAAACTCCATGCCAAGCCTCCTAGCATTTTGAATTATATTTTGGAACACTATGGGAAACAATCCAAGAACTTTTGTTTAATTAAAAGTCAAATTCTTTTTAGAAATTGAGGTTTAAATCTCGACTCACATTTAATTAAAAGTGTGTAAAGCGTGTCAGAAAACTCTATCATAAAAAGCTTAGTAAAATTGGTAGCTGTTAATTTTGTTTTGAAGTTATCATAAAATAGAAGGAGCAAGTATCATTTTTGTTTTAGTAAATAAAAAAAGAATATATTAATCATTCACTCTCTATAATTTTAACTTAATTATAATTTAATTTTTAAATTTTAATTCATTATAACTTTATTATTATTATTTTAACTCACTTATAACTCAATTCTTAAACTTTTTGTTTTACAATTCAATACCTATAATTATAATCACTTAAATATTATTTTCCATATTTTAAAAAGTAAAATTATAAAGATTAAAAATATTTTAAACTTTTAATATTTATAATAGTTAAAGATTAAAAGATTAAAATTATGTTAAACTAATATTTTAAAATATTAAACCTTATTAATCTTTATAAATATTAAAGGTTTAAAATATTTTTAATTTTTATTTTATTTTTTAAAATAGAGAGATTAATATTTAAGTAATTGAAATAATACAGATTAAATTATAAAATAAAAAAATTTAAAATCTAAGTTACAATTGAGTTAAAATAATACGAATTGAGTTATAATAAGTTAAAATTTAAAAATTAAGTTATTAGTGAACCAAAACATTAGGGGGCTGAATGATTAATTTTTGTCAAAAATAAAAATAAAGAGTATTAAATATAGACTGCTCAATTCAAATTTGAACAGTGCAGAGAGAAGGGAGAACGTGGTGGCGCTCCGTCGTGGAAAGCGAGGTCCCAGTACGTTTGGTGAGGATTGGTCATTAATGTAAAACTAAGAAGTTTGGAAAGAGCAGGAATATCGGAATGAAGTGTGAACAGTTTTTTTTTTTTTTGGGGGGAAAACTGTGAACAGTTGAAAACTAAAATGCCTGCCCCGAATGGCCCCTGGGAGGCCAAGGCTGGCCTGCCCCGGATGGCACCTGAGATGTTTCTTCTTCTTCCATAATCGACACGTGGCTCTCCCTTCACTCGTTGCCAGTCCAACTGTCCTCCCTCCTTTGCTTCCCGCGTCCCTTGGCGGATTTTGAGAGCCACCAAATCCAGAACGGCTTGTTGGACTCGGGTGGTCTGGAGCAGGGGCAAATTTGGTATCTGAATAATCATATACGATGTTATTATTATATTAATATTATATTAATAACTTGATAGTTTTCCCTCTCTTTTTTTTTTTGGTTTCTATCATCAGTCTAACCTATTAATTAAACTATAAAAATTATGATTTGTTAAATATTTTTATTTAAATTCTAACTTGGTTTTGATAACATTGCTTCATAACCCTTCTAATAAAATAAAACGTGATGCATCGTCACCCCCTTCTTGAGATGACAAGATTCATCATGCTGATTAGACCATCCAATCTCTAGGGGATGATGATGTCATTATTTAAAGACATTTTTTTAATAGTAACTTTAACATCAAATCTGTTTATAGAATTATGATTTTTTAAAAGAATTGTAATAATTATAATATTTGGATAAGGATTTAAAAGTGGCTTACTTACAAAAAAAATCAAATACTTTTTTTAAAAGGTTGCTTGGAATAAATTTTAATTCAAATCTACTTATATTGAAGGAAGTACTTCTCTTCAAAAAACTTGCTTTTTTGAATATAATTCTTTTAATTTTTCAATTCATATTCTACAAGATTGCATAGAAGCTCGTAATGTTTGGATTAAACTGGTGAAAGCTTCAAAACTTAATACTTTTTTCTCTCTTTTTGTGCAGGATGGGATAACTTGAAATGTGAAAGTTAAGGCAGAAAATCTTAACATAAGAAATGCCCTATGACGGAAGTTTTCGCTTAGGTTTGCTGGAATATTTGGAAGACCCATTGCAAAAAGATCTATTTCGAAGAAACCATTTAGAATGTCGATATTGCTTTATCTAGTAACTAGCAAATCTCCGATGACATGAGGCTTCAATCTAGAGTTAATCTCCTCAGTCGTAATTGCAAAAGATTATAAGCACAATGGACATCCCCAAAAACAGGTTGGATTTGCCTTGACATTGACGGGGTTGTCAATTCCATTGAAATTGCAACTTGTGGTGGAATCAGGATAATAAAGGCAATTGGATCAAGGAATTTTTCAAATACCTTGATTATCAACCAAGCACTATAGCAAAACTCTCGAGCATTTTAAAAAGATTTTAGCTTTGTTGAAATGCTCAGTTCAATAAAATCAACATATACTCTAATTCTGTGGAAGCTCTCTTGCTTATCCAATATAATTTTCTTGATAATCATTCTCCATTTAGTATTATCAATGAAGTCGAGAATTTAATTATAAAAGATTGAATTATTACCTTAAAATACACGTTTAAAGAAGTAAAGAGATGTGCGGAGATGCTCGTTTACTAAACTTTTCAAGAAAATCTTGATCTTAATATTTATAATCATTCGATATAAATTTTTTATGAAATTTGATATCACGTGATTTTATTCACTTTTGTCACAAATTTTTCGTATTTTTGTATTAAAAAAATAAAATAAATAAAACGTGACGCAAGCGTTGAAACTCTCCAACTCCGTCGTCCAGCTTCACCTGCCCATGCCTCCTACGCGCCTTCTGACTCCCTCTTCTGTTATACTATTTTTTAAGTTTTTGCCCCCAATGCTGTTGGAGTTGGAGCATTTCTCTTGTCCACGCCTGTCTGCTGTACAGGTAATTTTCTTGGAGACACAGATTATTATTACACTAGAAACTAATTCTATTTTTACAAACTGTTTTTTATTTTTTAAAAATAAAAATAATTTGCATAAACGTTTTGAATTTATTTAGTTTTGAAATTATTTTCATTTTTATTTTTAAAACATGTTATATTTGATTATTAAAAATACAATTAATTTAATTAATTTTTATTACAAACCATCATCATTAACCGTTTGTAATTTTAAAATTATTTTCAAATTAGCATAATTAATATATTTTCATATTATTTTGTTTTAAAAAATAATTCTAAATATTATATTGCAAAATAATTTTTTAAAATAAAAAATGGAAACAGTGACCTAATTTCCTGTGTTTTAGAAGACTTTTCACAAAATGGGAACCAACTTGATCTGCGCTATCCAACTCGGTTGCCGCTAGTCGGCATCCATATGTCGACCTTCCGCCTTGAGCTGGATCTCCATTCTCCACTGTTTGTCAATCCCAATTGGCATGCGGAAGATTTACCTTTTTTTAATAAAAAAAGAATAAAATATGTTCAAAAGGCAAGAAATAAAATGCAATGGCAATTTGCTTAGCTATTTAAATTTAAATTATTTAGTTATCACTTGGGTTGGGTGATTTAAATTAGATAATTAAAAATTATTTTAGTCTATATTATAACGAAATAAAAGTATCTAAACCCGTAAAAAATAAAACTATATTGTGTCTTTTAAATATAATCTATTTTATACCAAACACTACAAATATTTTCTATTAATATCAAAAATTAAAACAAAGTTCTGCAGGTCTGTGTGTCCGTCATTTTCTGCGCAATAAATACAATTTCTTCTTTAATTTAACGCGTACAAATATATGTTGGCATTATCAAATAAATTATTAGGTGGAGGCCTCATCAAATTGATACACTAGTGATTTCAAAAATGAAAAAATTGTCTATCTATAAAAAAAGAAGTTGTAATTGTGACGAGGGCAGTGCCTGAGGGGTACAATACAACGAGGTGGCCCTTTTGTTTTTGTTTTTGTTTTTTTTTTTTTTGTTTTGAATGAAAAATATAACACCAGCACTAAATAATTTAGTGAAAGACCCAGTGAATGGAAGGGCCCCACGAACGCGTGAAATTCGGAACGATATTTCCAAATCGCAGAGTCCGTAATCGCGTGAGATATTGGAGGGGTCCACTGCCAATGCCAGCTTCTACCTTCCTTCTTCGTCGCCCCGTATAAATTGCTTTCGCCGCTCCCATTTTTTCTCATCCCAATCGATTCTTTCCCTCTTCCGCACTTCGTAGCCGCCAGCATATGTCTCAGAGGCCTACCATTCCTCATTCTTCATCCATCGCTTGTGGCCTCCATTCTCATCTCCTGGTTTCCAGTGAGATGAACCCTAACTCCAACTGGTCTTTATAGTCTTTTCCTCTAAGCTGTTCTTTTTTCTTTCGCTCAAATCCCTATTCTTAATTTTCACCAGAATTTTCGCTCCTTTCGCTGACACCACCCCACATTCATTCTTTCAATTTTGCCCCAATAGATCTATTTTTTCGATTGCTTGCTCAGAAAATCCGTAATGGGTCTTAAAGGTTTTGTTGAAGGAGGCATAGCTTCCATTGTTGCCGGGTGCTCCACCCACCCTCTCGACCTCATCAAGGTTCGTATGCAGCTCCAGGGCGAGAACCCTGCTCCAAGACCCAACCCGGCGGTCCATAGTCTCCGACCTGCACTAGCCTTCCACCCTGGCTCGGTCCACCGGGTCGTGCCTCCGATGCCCCAGGCCGCCGCGGCACCTGCTCGTGTGGGTCCCATAGCCGTCGGCGTTCGCCTTGTCCAACAAGAAGGCGTGACTGCTCTTTTCTCCGGCGTCTCCGCCACCGTTCTCCGCCAGTGCCTCTACTCCACCACGCGCATGGGTCTTTACGAGGTGCTCAAGCAGAAATGGTCCGATCCCAACGCCAAGAGCACCATGCCGTTGTCTCGTAAAATCGGCGCCGGTCTGATCTCTGGTGCGGTCGGTGCCGCCATTGGAAATCCGGCCGATGTAGCCATGGTTCGAATGCAGGCCGACGGCCGGCTCCCGGTGGCTCAGCGCCGGAACTACACATCAGTGGTGGACGCAATCTCCCGAATGGCAAAACAAGAGGGAGTGACTAGCCTGTGGCGCGGGTCATCGCTTACGGTGAACCGTGCGATGCTGGTGACGGCATCGCAGCTGGCTACTTACGATCAGGTGAAGGAAGCGATACTGAAGAAGGGAGTTATGCGTGATGGGCTCGGAACCCACGTAACTGCTAGCTTCGCGGCGGGGTTTGTGGCGGCCGTAGCGTCGAATCCGGTCGATGTGATAAAGACGAGGGTAATGAACATGAAGGTGGAGCCGGGGGCAAAGCCGCCGTACTCCGGGGCGTTGGATTGTGCCCTGAAAACTGTGCGTGCCGAAGGTCCTATGGCACTGTACAAAGGTTTTATCCCAACGATTTCGAGGCAAGGACCCTTTACCGTGGTGCTCTTTGTGACGCTTGAACAGGTTCGCAAGTTGTTGAAGGATTTCTGAGCGAGGTAGCTGATGATGACGAAAAATCTTAGAACGCTTCAATTTTAATTCTTGTTATCCCTATTACTATTTTATGCTCTGTTTTCCTTTTATCCAGTATGTTAACGATCTCTCAGAAATGAAAATTGAGCTTTGTAACCCTTATGAATTATCAATAAGGAGTTTGAGGTACTAATGAATGGCGCTTGAATTGAGTAAGTCTTCTTGTATTGATTGATTCTTTTAAGCCAAGAAAGACAAGAGATGGCGAAGGTTCTTGCTTGGCTGAAGATTCTGCTTTAAAACGACGTAAATTGTGTTCTCTGCTTTTTGTTTTTGATAATTGTGTTCTGTGCGTTTCTTTTTCTTACTTTTCTGTCTTTTTTTAATGCTTAAAAACCACGTCAGCTGAGGTGGTCCCTTGAATCTCCCTCTATTTTTCTGATGATTCCGTTGAGTTTTAAGTTGCAAAGCACAAAGCAGCATGTTTCTTGATTTAGCATTTAACTTGACCGACAAGAATGATTTTATTATGTTACTCTGGTCTAAAAATGTAAGTGTTTTTTCACAACTATTTTTGTTTTAAAATATAAAAAACCTAATATATTTAAAAAAATATTTTTTTTATTTATTAGTCACGATATTTGTGTAAGTATAACTTTCACTCGTTTTGGATAACATTAGTAATTAGAATTAAAAACAAAAAATAATATATATTTTTATAAAAATGATAATTTTATTGGTGCATGAATTTTTGCCAAAAAGATAAAACTGTTTATATTTTAACTCAGGGAAGAGTGTGCATGAGTGTCGATAGAGGTGGTCAAATGGAGTAAAAGAAATATGGTAAACAATTTGGTTAACATCATTTTAATCTATTATTTTTCCCCAAAAATGTGAAATATCAAGGTTGTCAATTAGGGGACAGTCGGTCCTGACCGTCAAGGTTAAAGGGCTGGCCATACATGCTCCAATCCTATTTTTTTTTTATAATTTCAAAATCTAAAAAATTATATTTATAATTTTATAAATAGTTATTACACATAAGATTAAGAGCCCATTTGTTTCAGCTTAAAAATCACTTACTTTTTTTTAAAAAATCTATTTTATAAGTTTTTATGATACTTTTTTTTTCCATAAGTTTTTGTGATATTTGTTTAAACTTTTGAAAATAATCAAAATTTAAAAAATAGTATATTTTTTATTATTTTAATTTACTTTTAGTAGTTTTTTAAAATGATCTAATGCAGTAATTGAAAGAGAGGGTTTTAAAGAGGTAAATATGCGAAGATATCATAAAATTTTAAAATAATATAATAATAAATTATTTTTATAAAAGAGAAATTAAGAAAAATGTCATAAATTTTAAAAATAACTAACTAATAATCACTTTTTAACTATTGTAACGAAATGTAAAATAATGTTTGCTTTTTATAAAATCTCTACAAAAGAAATACATTTTTCATAAAACCCCTAAACTATATAAAAATCATTTATTTTTTAATTTTAAACCAACAGGTTCTAAGTTTAGTAAAATAAATTTAAGCCAATCCATACAATAACATATATGTAAAACTTAAATATTCAATTTCAATATTAAAGAGAAACATTAAAATTAATACTAATAAAAATTAATCTTTATTAGCACTATTAACTAAATTTGAGTAAATGATTGAAGGAGGAGGCATGAGTCTAGGTTTTCATTTATTTTATTTAGATACTTATCCTCTTATTTTTTTCAAATTGAAATTTAAAAAATAATAAAAGAATTTATAAGGGCCAATTTTTTTATTTTTATATTTAAAAGGGTCAATTCTCTTAAGCTCAAATTATTATTTTTTATTTTAAAATAGTGGCTTAATCTTAATTATTTATAGGTTTAAAATGATCAGTCCAACGGGCTTAGCCCTAGCTAACAGATACAAGGATATGTATAAGAAATAAGAGCAACTATAAAATAATATTACTTTTTTGTCGACAAAAATGATAAAATTTCTTCCAAACCACTCAAATGATCACTCCCTGGGGAGCGATGGATCCAATTTTCTTCAATCCATAAACGACCAATGCCAACCATGATCTAATATTTTATTCTATTTATTTTATAAGAAGTTAGCCTCTTCTTGCATGAATTACTGCTGTAAATTTTATATTAATATAAATATTAATAAGGTATTTTTATATAACACATATATATAATTATAAAATGTGTTTAAATTAGGAAAACATTTCAATTTAAAATAGACAATATATATATATATATATATATATATATAAAATTAAAAACGGCTTAGTTTGTTAGGAAAGTTGACCATCGAAATTAAATGACTTACTACTTGATTTAGTGAAAATATTAAAGATATTGATGACAGATTTTTTTGAATCTTTTTTATAATTATTTGTTAGATTTATAAAAATTTCATAATGTAAAAAACAAAAAAAAATCACGATTTAAAAATCATTTGAAACTAATCTTTCACCTTTACAACTGAGCTTCTTTTAAGAAAATATTTATCATAGTGTGCTTAAATATATATTTTTTTCAATATAAAATAAGCTAAGATTTAAAAGATTAATTAAAATTTAATATATTTTTTTAAATAATTTAAATTGCTATTCGGGTATTCAAATATATATGTGTTTGGGCTTGGAAAGGAAAGGAGAGGGGGGCAGGAAAAGTGCTTTATTTAGAGGCAAAAATATTGGAAGCCGCACTTTATTCTCAATCCATGTTATTGCTTGCATTTGCATTTTGTTTTTAAAAAAAATAAAAAATAAAAAACATTGAACCCAACACTCGAGTATATATGCTCACCTTAATATAACCAATAAATCGAATTGGTTTGCTCTCTTCCATTCCTGTCAAATACCACAATCTACAACCCTCGAATCTTTTCAGATACATGACCCAGCCAGGAAACCTTCTCTTTATATATATAGTGAAATTATGATATTGGTCACTTGGTGTTGGCTTAAACCTAAAAAATAGGGAGAATCTCAACCAAAGCATCCAAGAGGAATAATTGCACACAAGGCCAAATAAATCTCAAACTTGGCTGCATGTCGAAGGCCCTCAACTAAAATTAAATCTCATGGTTCAATTATTAAAATGTTATTGGTTCATCGATTTGACTTGTTTCTTGAATATTGAGAAGTCACGTTTGCATATTAACAAGTTATTTTTCGAATATTAAGAATTTAATTCCCATAATAAATAAGGTTGCTACCCAATTAAAGTTTGAATAACAATTATTTCCTTGCTTAATTACGCCACATGCAACGTCACCAAGTTTGGCTTCTTTTTTTCCCCTCTTTATCTTGGATCTAGAAGAATTAAATCTCTAACCGTAATAATTTATTTAAATAATGAGAGGTTTTATCATTCAGGACAAGTAAGTTGGTAACATTCAATTATACATATATATTGTCAAAACTAAATTCTAAACTACGTAATTTAGTTTTGAAAAAGTTGATTGATTCTTATTAACTCGTGAATTCATTTTCAATTGTACATATCATAGGACGTAAAGCTAACGTGGATGGTGGGCAATGAAATAATGAATACCACATACAAATTGTGGATGGAGGGTCCACATAGATAGAACATGATTGGAAACATTTGGATGTGAATGAATATGTTGAGGTTCCATGCAATATGTATGCACATGTATAAATAATAAAGGTTTGAATTGACTATATATCCAACACCCTCTGGAGTCCGGAGCCCAGGCACGTCACGTGTTCAATAACAGCCACACATTCACCACAAAATTTGAAGGAAAATAAAAAATAAAAAAAAGGCCTGAACCTAGTTTTTTTTTTAATACAATAAATTAAAATTATGACCTTCTTGGGTTTTCATTTTGTGTCTCGTTGCTTGATCTTTCCTTCTCTTGCCGTTTTCCTAAGAACGAGTAACGACATATCCACAGTCTAGAGTTTTTCTTTTTTCTTTTTTTTAAAAAAAAGAAAAACTATTTGTTATATGATATTATTGATTAACTTAAGGTAGCAGTTATATTTAAATTTTAGATTTAAAATTCTTATTTTAAATTTCATATTTAAAGTTTATATATTTAAAATTTTTTATTTGAATTGTTTAAAAATTTGAAATGAAAAATAGAGATGAGTTGGGATTGGAAAGAAAAATGAAAAATTAAAAATAATAAGTTTACTTCCATTTTTCAAACGATGAGAGATAAAAATGAGAGATGAGAAATGAATGAAAATTATTAAAACATTAATAATAAAAACACAAAAAGAATGATGAATTTAAAATAATTAGAATTTTAAATAATTAAAATATAAGTTATAATAAAAATAGATTTTTATAAATTATTGTATATTCAAATAAGGAATTTAATTTAAATTTAAATTTAAATCCAAATCTCTATTAATCCAAATATGTCCTAACTTTAAATTAGATTGAGCACCATACAGGAGATAAAACCATTTCAACATATTGCCTTTTCTTTTTCATAAAAACTTAGTCCAAACTTCACTTTAAAAGAATCAAGTTGTTTTTTCTCCGCTCAACTCAATGGTGTCTCAAAATTCTTATGCTAGTTAAGTAAGGAAGTTGAGGATACTGGTGGGAAAGAACTTAAACGGCATGCCAATCACAAAGTGAGCATTTTAATTGTACGTTGACGAGATCAGTTTAAGATGTCGGCAAAGGCTGTGCGGTCAAACTAGGATTAAGAAGAGAAGAAAAAGCACTAAGCATAAAATGAAGGCACTGACCTCAACAATATGGACATTGATTAGTACGGGGCCACAGCTGAGGAGACCCTCAGAAAGTGGGCTTTTTGAGTCTGTCAAACATTGGTTCAGTCGTAAAGAATCCCACTACACACCACAATCGTAAAATAAAATATATAAATAGTAAATTGGAGTTAATGAGGGTGAGGCATCCCAATGGCAGTCTTGATTCAAGTTCACTGGCTGTGACTCCTCCACTTGGAAGATGAGATGCAAATTTATCTATTCTGCAGAGGATTCTTTTGTTATAAACATCATCTTCTTCTGCACCTGACGCATTATCGATGATCTTAATTTACAATCAAAACTCAACTTCAAGTATTTGGATCATGATAGAGCTCAAATAAAATGGTGCCCATCTAATTCTGATTTGATTAGACTAGACATCAACACAGCTTTGTCACTTGTGGTGGTCTTATTCACAATTTTTAGTGAAATTGAATTGAGGGCTTTTCTAC